CCGCCAAATTTGTTAACTTTTTAATCTGGGAAGTTGAGAGAATATACATTAATTTCATAGTGAGTGCAACCTTCCTTTTGGATAAAACGATAAATTTGTTCTTTTCTTCATTTCTTGCTTTATATCTCTCTGTGCAGTGTGCATAGAAAGAAAAAAATATCAAAGCAAAGAAAAATGATATAAAAGAGAACAGTAGAAAAGCGGAATCTTTGATGTCTACCGTTGAATATAGTGTAATATACCGTGAAAACTCACAGTGGCGGATCCGGGTCCGAAAAACGCGGGTACCCCGATGAGATCTTTGCGCCGTACAACGTAACTCGTTGCGCTGATTCCGAATATGTAAAAATCTTGAGACTTGCTTCTCTAGAAAAAACCATCAAATTTTGATCTGCGCACAAGACGTAACGAAATGCTATTTGGAATAGTCCAGCTGCAGAAATTGTAAGAACATTATTACATTATTCCTACGTCCTACGTCTCTTCACAAACGAGCATTCAGCAACTGTATACTTCACTTCACATTTTTTTTGCAAACAGAGTCAGATGTGTTGTGGCCCATTGTTGTAAGTTACAAAACATAAATAGAATTGTCATTACATTGAAGAAAACTGCCACAATGACAAGCATTACTTACACGTGTTAAATATGTTTCACTGCTCAGTGCAACTTTAAATTAAAGCTAAAATGACTGCACAATAGTGTACGCATAAAAAGTGTTTCAAGTCTGTGATATAATAGCATTTTCCTGAATGCAAGTTTGTTGCCCGAGGAAAAGGGCTCATCGAAAATTGGAAAGCAATGCAATTCACTTATAAAATATGTGTCAACCGCTAGACTACATTTTGCCAGCAAGCTACTCTTCACAAATCAGAGATAGTCAAATAAAGTAGATCAGATCAGATCTCCTTCTACTCACCTGCCATACCAAATCCTATCATTCTGCTCGAAATAACAAAAAATAATCCAGCAGCAAACGAAATCGGTTCTTCGAAGAATATTTGTAACGCCGTTATTTGATAAATAGCGTATGCGGTATCGGCATTGGCTATAAGCATAGCTGTTATTAATGAATGTTCTTTGATATTGAATGGACCGTTATTAAGTGAAAATTTCCATTTATAAAGATGAAATGTTTTCTTAGGTAATAAACGAGCCATCAGCTGACCAAGTGGCATTGATATTAATTGAAAAATGACAACATCAGTATTGAGTGGATATCGTCTAAATGAAAACGTGGCACTCAATATTGATACAATTACAGTCAATAATAAACCCATAAATAGAGTTCGAAATGTTAAATATGGCATTTTATCATCAGTAATAATTGGTACACTAGTATTTACTACTTCATAAGGTGATTGAAAGATACAATTAAACGTTGCAATTTTATCAGTTAATAGTGAATCTTCTTTAATAAAGTTTAATTGGTTTACACAAAGTTGATCCAAGTAATTTTCTTTTTCTATCCGTGGATTTGAAGTCGGTGGAACATTGTTTGTAGAATGTTGTATCGAGATTGAAGATAACTCTAACACCTTCGGTTCAAATGTCATCGCTTTCGAACAGAAATAATTGACACTAAATTCGTAGTAGTGCACAGCGCAATGGAGTAGATGATATATAAAGTCTTATGACTTCGAAATTTCTAATGAGTTTTCATCAAAGACCTTAAATATGATTATCTTTATCGAACACTACAAAACATCAGCGTGCTCATATTAATCCGTGCATGCTCTATTTATACTAATAACGCAATGCATTGACATGTGTACAGTTAGGTAAAAAACAAAATAAATCGAATATTAAGCAGTTACTTTTACATGATAAGTTGAATAAACAAACACAATGTACACATTTAGAAGAACGAAACAATGTAATTTCTTTTCTATTGTATCTCGCTCTTTTGGTGTGTATGCGCGAGTATCGTTATCGATCTAAATTTGTTTTATTATGTTGTGCTAGTTCTATGTGTGGTCAGCAAATGAAGTTCTCAGAAAGTATTACTGTTGCTGGTAATAGAAATATTCATAAAATTAGTATTACTTTTCAGTAAAGTAATTCAAGAAAAAATTTCTGAAAAACTCGATTCAGAAATATTTAATATTTTACGACAAATATCAGAATGCTACAATAATATTTTGCCAAAATTTATTTCTATGCTATAGAAAGCTTTTTTTAATTGAACGTGCACTTTGAAATCGACATTTAGTAAGCTTTTCAAAACTTTGCACAATTTTTGTTTTGGAGTTATTAATATTTTATTGACAATGTCGAAAACTGCGTTTATACAAAAAAAGTAGATGTCATTTTTAACAAACTTTAATGCAGCTGTGATAGAGGTACTGTAATAATTTTGGTTTGAATATTAATTTGAAGAGCAAACATTTCTCTACAAAATGGTATGTCAGGTGTCTTAGTACGGCTTTACTATAAAAAATTAGAAGCGTTCGAACGGTTTACTCCTCTATCTGCTTGGAATTTCCACAGATTTTAACAAAAGCAGAAATTCATTTGGAATTTCTGCTTTTGCAGTAATTTTTTTGGAATTTCGACAAAAATTTGGGGTAGGCCGTGAATGACCTCTGGTGATTCGTGTTTGTTGTATATATTGTTGTCGAAGAACGTAGTGAAATTTCGACAGAATTCTCTACTTTAATGAAGTGATGAAGAAAAAGACTGATGCAACTGTATTTATAAGGTAAGGCGCTTTAAAACAAGAGAAATTGTTTCTATGTTCATGTGTGTTCTGCTACCAAAATTCCTGATTATTCTGTAGCCAAAAGTAAAAATTGTGACTGCATTGTAGTCTGAAAGAGAAAGCTTTTTTGAAAACCAGATAGATGAGAATGTCGCCTACACAAAACTCTATCGATCCTTCTACTTTCGATAGTCTTTCAGTAATTCGTCGATAGTAATAAAAGCGTATATAAAACTCAGTTTCGTAAAAATGCTCATTTGCACCAAAAAGATAAAACATCGAGAAAATCTGTTCTGTACATGGCGCAAAAGATGTTAGTAACGACTAATACTAATGTGAGTTTATAGAGAATTAAATGCTGTGTCGAAAATTGTGTTTTAGCAAAAGAACGAAACTTGATTAGTATCCGAAAATCATTCATTAAGTCTAATGAACTGTGATTCCAAAACTAATGACAACTGTGATAATTATTGGTTGAAAGATGGATCGATAGATAACTGATTATACCCCACTTGAAACAGCGATAAAATAAGGCGCCGCTAATTCAAAAATCAAGTGGAAAAGCTTTTGAATTCTCAAACACATATTCTGATTCATCAGACGCTGCTGATCACGAATCTTACTTCATTTTTTCGATTTGACCGAGT